CCCTTGACCTAACCATCTATCGCTAGCCTACTCAGGTGTCGGTCGCGGCTTTTAGCAATGAGGCCATTGTCCGATACGACTATCGGCACAATCACAGATATATTAAAGGGCACAATGGTTGCTGAATCCACATACCACATGTCGACACTCTCATGCAAATTCACATTTTCCAAATTGTAGTGTTTAAAAATTCGCATTGGCCGAGTGGTCGCAAGTGCGACTGACGGGCAAGGGGTCTCGGGTTCGATTTCCGGGTCGGACAAAGCATTACTGGGTTGTTAAAAATCTCAGTAGTAGCACGGAGTCTAGAAATTTCCGGTATATGGCAATTGGCTCACCCCCCAGACAAGAGGTTACATGGGACTCGTAACATAAATAGTGAAAAGTGGGTGTTACATTGTACAGTGGCGTTAAGTGCCGTAATGTGCACCTCTGCCTACCTCTACGGAGCTAAAAGGCGTGATGTTATTTATGTATGTAAAAATTCTTATTGAAAAACATAATAGACAGACGCATTACTCGCCGCTACAATTTTCGAAAGTTCCCCTCGGTGTCCCTAGGATTCCATCGTCAGATCCTGACCTGATGAAAATGGGAGTCCTATTTATTAGGAGTATAACATATTAAAGAAATCAAGAATTTAGGAAATCGGTTGACAAACGGTGGAGCAATCGGTTAACAAATAAAATAAAATAATAATAGTACCTTGTCCTTATTTAAAGTCGGTAAAAAAACTAGATGTGTGGCTGATGGGACCTTGGGACGCGACGCCTGCTAGTAAACATATCGAGTTAGGGCTCATTCGTTGGATCCATATTTCTTATATGACGAGATAATAAGATAACGAGGATATGATGACGAAAAGTGCGTTTCTGCTTGCGAATCTGTGGAACACATAAAGAGTCTTTCGGGACGGGAATTGAACCCGTGACACATTGCACAGCTGCAGCAAATGACCCACCACTGCGGTATGCAGTCACTTACTAGTTACTCTAGAAATCAATACAATACATAATATTATACAGTTTTTTTTTTTTTATTTCTATTTATTTATTTTGGGGTTTTTATCCACATGGATATGCCAACCCCATCGTACCCTTTTAGTTTTAATTACACTACCTTAATTAATAATATAACTAAATTAATTTATCGAGAGAGAATCATCAATTAGGTATTTTTGCTAATCTACTTAATTTAACTGCTAACTTGGATTTAGGACTTGCCAAAACTGTCTGTACTAACCCAACATCTAAAACATTTAGTTTAAACTCTTTAATTAATGATTCTCTCTCATTTTTATTTCTGACACATTCCATCAGCAAGTGAGGTATATCTTCAATTTTGTTGCAAAATAAACAATAAGGTGATGCGAGTTTTCCCATAAGATATCCAAACTTTGCTGATGGAAAGTGTCCAGAGCGTAATCTTAAGGCTATCTTAATATATTCTCTATTTAATTTGTCATCATCGAACCAGGGCATACGAGGAGGCTCACTTTGTATCACTTTGTACCATAACCCTTTTTCTCTAGATGTTTCATCAAAATGGTTTTTCCATTTTGTGTAACATTCATCCTTGAATCTGTTGACATATTCCCAGTAATCTGGTAGGTATACTATTTCATTACCTGAGTCAACGGCAAGCTTGGACAAGCTGTCAGCCTCTTCGTTGCCCCGGAGGCCGATATGTGCTGGAACCCATTGCAATACAATATTGATATTATTATTGTTCTGATAATGGATTAATTTGAGAATATCATAGGCTATCGCTGTTCCTCTGCAACCAGAGGTACATCGAGCCACATGCTGTAAAGCGCTTTTACTATCAGTAAAAATAACAACTTTATTTAATTTTTTGTTTACTGCATAAAGCATCGCTTGATATATTGCAATGAGTTCCAGCGACATGATGGAGACTTCGATGGTGATTTTAAATATAAATTTATCCCCTAAGCTTTGACAATAGAAGGCCGCTCCGCCCCCCCCTACAACTTTTGACCCATCCGTGAATATTTTACAGTAGTTTTCATATTTGGAAGCTAATTCGGATACCACCTCTGTTACTAATAAATTAGGTTCATAATATTTTTTTGGTCGTCTAACACATTCTAGATTACATTGAATAGTATTTTCAATCTGAATAGCCGATACCCATATATCAAGGATGAACATTTTAAATATATCTGAAGATGCTACCCGAAGTTGACTCAATTCATTAAAAACTGTGGCGAGTAAAGGTTTCTTCTTATTCGTCCAATAGGGGTCATGAATATGCGAGTTTAATTCTAAAATGATGTCTTTACTTGGGCTGTCAGACCAGGATAGTGTTTTCAAAATAAATTTATAAGCTAGGTATTGTCGTCTTAAAAATAATGGAACTATGTGTAATTCACTCTCCATTACATGGATCGGTGAACTTTTAATGAAACCTCCTATCACTCTAAGAGCTTGGTTTTGGAGTTTATCCAATTTAGCTATATTTGTCTTTGCACTAGTATCATATAAAAAGCATGCATAATCAAGTCGACTTCGGATTATTGATATATATAGTTTGCGTATATGCTTAGGGTGTACTCCCCAGGTACTACCGACTAAAACTTTCAATAAATTTAGATATTTCGAACATTTTGCTATAGTCTCGCTTATATGCTTTCTCCAGTAAAGGCTTCTATCTAACCATACTCCAAGATATCTAACACATTCTACCATAGACAACGGTTGGTCATAAATTCTTAGTGTTGGTACTATTTTTCTCCGGCCTCTACTAAAAACACAGTAATTAGATTTTGTAGGCGACAACGTTAATCCAATCTCACCTAGTAACCTAACCAAACAGTTGAGGTTGTCTTGCAAGTATTTTCCACACTTTTCAATCTGTTTGTCACCAATATAAATAACAAAGTCATCCGCATACTGAGTGAAGAGCACGTTATGTAATTTATCACACATTTGGTAAGTGGCTAAATTGAACAGTAAAGGAGACAGCGGGTCTCCTTGTGCTAACCCTTTATTAGTCCACCTCGGTGTTAACCCGTCATTATTAAGAGATTTAATTTCCAAGTGTCTTTCGTTCATAAAATTCCAAAGGTAAATGCAAAACTTTGACCCAACCTGTAGATTATCTAGACTTTTTGTTACTGCTTCAATGGATACATTATTATATGCATTTTCAATATCTAAAAAACATGCTAATGTGGGAATATTTTTGGAGAATCCTACTTGAATATACGAAACGAGACGTGACAGTGAGTCTAAACACGACTGAGCTTTTCTAAATCCTACAGTATGCGATGATAAAATCTTGTTTTTTTCTACAAACCATTCTATTCGTTTACACATTAATAAATGAAAGATTTTGCAAATGCACGACATCAACGAAATGGGTCTTAACTTTGCATTACAGTCATTTCCATTTTTAGGTATAGGGATTATTTGAATGTTACGCCATTGCTGGGGGACGATACCATATTATACAGTTAATATAATAAAGTTAAATGAAACCTGTCCCATTTAAGTTAACCTTACAAATAATTGTAATAAGTTATTATTATTTTTACTAAAACAAAACTGGCCAACTAGACAGGCCGACTATTGTTGCATTTTACTCGAAAATGAACCTTATTCTTCTTCTTCTTCTTTATGCATTTTCTACCGCTAGAGCTGCACTTGCTAGCTCCTTCATTTTGTGTCATCTCTTTCGGTGTCGAACAGTTGCTAACTACATAGTTATTACGTGTCAGCTGCGAGTTTGACATCATCATACCGACAGCGGTTTTCCTTGTGGCCGTTTTTCGTCCCAGTCTCCCTCCTTTTATTATATCAGATATCTATGCTCTCCACTCACTTATGTCACGGCTTATGATATTGTAAGCGACTTTATCGCGCATTTTTATCATATCTTAATTGAAATGTTATTCTGAGGCACACTCGAAATTTAGCAGTCTCCTGCCTTTTGCTGAGACTTCGTCTCGGGCACCCATCGAGACGTCACCAGTTCACAACTGAAATACAAAAGAAAAGAAAGGGCTTGCGACGATAGACTTAGTTATAAATCGCATCACAAATGTTGCCGACGAAATTTTTCGACCGTTACCCCAGGCACAGTCAAGGCACACATTCTAGTTGTGCGATGCCACCTGACGGGAAACTGAGATCATTTGATTTCCTCTTTTTGTTTTTGACTAATTAGTAAAGTATAATTTATTAAACATTGTTTCTGTTTTATTTAATTTATTAAACATACAGTCTCAACCCTGATTACATATTTTTATGATTTTACATTTTTTACTTAGGTAGGTAATAACAATAATATTTATTTATTTATATCACAGCCGTTGCAAAAGTTTGGCTGTAGGGTCAGCGAGTCTCTAGACATTACAATTAAATTAACTTATTAAATATTATAAACACACCTATATCTAATATAATATAGGTGTTTTAACTTACACTTAGTTACAGAAGAGAAGATTTACAGAAGTTAAGGCATTTCCAAATAATATAACTTTACATTAGGTACATTATTTTTCCACTTTGCGAGTGGTAGATACTGTTTTAAAAACTAACAATGTTCCTTCAGTTAATGTTTGTATTTAATGATAGGGTTCCGTTTCGGATGCTGCCGATTTTTATAAAAAAGGCGCTTTCAACAAGCGTCTTCATATTATTACTATTGTGCTGTTTGCATTATAAAAATAGTTATTAAAACGTACCGTGTTTAACGTAGAGACAATAGCTTACAATATTATGCGCTATTAAACAAAATATGCTAAAAGTGCAGTGCGTATGTTAGTTGCACATAAATATTGCAGGGGGGAGTGATGTGTGCTTTTGGAATTTTCACAAAGTTACATACGCATAAAAACAATGAGCTCTATTCTACCGACCCAACCCTTTTATATCCTTAACGGAGGTAGTTGTGATATAAAGTAGATTATAATATTGTATGGTCGTCACGATAAGAAGTGTGTGCCAAGTATCAGATCAATCTGTCGTCAGTGTAAGGTCCAGTTAGATCCTTACACTGTAGTTTGTGGTTGTAGAAGGTGTAGTAGCTCACAGAAAAGATCACAAGTTCTAGTTGCTAGTTGCGTATATTAAGTTTGGTAATAGTTACAAATAACGTTGTCGTATTTCTTTGCTTGACGTTGGTTGGTAGATAAAGTACTACTACTACGATTAATGTAATACGCTAAATTATATATGCTATGCATTGGGTGACGCGCATTCAATATTGCTGCGTCGACTATACGTGCTATGTACGGTTATGAAACCGTACATGTTGGCAAACCCAAAATAAACTAGAAATAATTAAAATAAGTAGATACTGTCGAGCAAAGAAACACTGTTACAAAGATTATAAAATTGATATCGTATCAATCAAAGTTGAACGCTAAGTTGTCATTGGCTTCAGGTCCCCGTCGTGGATGCTCGGTGCGCTGCTCCGATTGACTCCTTGATGACGTTGGTTCTTCTTGAGGTCTTCTTGGTATCGGTTTTAACTCTATGCCTTCGAACTGGACGTGGTTCGTGGCTGGCCTGTTCTCGGTTTGTCTTATGCCACAGGTTGGGCCGAATCGCTTTACAACCCACCACAAAGTTCCAATTATCATGATGCCAACTATCGTGTAAGAGATGGCATACTGATGGATGTCATGATTGGTAACAGTAGTGGGGAGCTGCTCTTCTCGTTTCTGAAGAGTGGCTATTTGCTTGTCAATTTTGTCTAAGTCTTCATCCATATTAAATACCACACGGGAGCGGTTATGATATGTTTTGTTTATTATGTTGTTTATCATCGAGTTTAGCGTTGGAACATTAATTTTAAAATCCATCTTCATGTGGCTATTATATTGGTTATGCGAATGTATGGTAAGTTCCTTTGATTGCAGTGAACACCCTTCGGCTAGGTTCACTATCCCGGTCGTCATTGAATGTGACGTAACATCCTTTTCACATACAGTTCGTAGCGTACAAGTGCCACAACAAATTGCTAACCAAGCATTCGCAGTGTGTAATGGGATCCACTCCTCCTTGCATGACGTTCTTTGTACGTCACAAGGTGACGTAGTTTGGTGACTCAATAGTTTTGCTTCGCATGGAGCGTTGTTGTTGTATAAGTTGAAAATAGGCAGATTTTTGTTGCATATTAGTTTGCCAAGTTGAAGAGGGAAGCAAAGTTTCAAGTCATCTTCATTCAACGAGACATAACTATTCTTCCTAAAGTTAACAGCTATGTACTGTGCAGACATTAGTACAATAGTAGTTTCAGTGTTGATTTTCATAGGTAAGGGTATGGCTTTGTATAATGTGAAGTCTTCGTCTGCTATCAGTGGCACATGCACTTCAAATAAAAAATAGTAATTCGTGACTCTTGCTCTCATATACAGCAGCTTATACAGATCCTTTAAATCTTCTCTGATGTTTTTAACAGGCAAGTACGAGGTACTCGGGAGCTTGCTGGCGATCTCCGATAATTGTTCAATCAGGTTTGTAGGTGTAATCAAATGGACATCTATATGACCTTTATAGACATCAGTTAATGTTTTGAATAACATTTCTTGAATTCTGTTTAAGTTAGTGATGAGCAGGTATGCTGTGAGAGATGCCGTGTTGAAGTAACTTGTAGCCATCATGATTTCTATTTCGGATTCAACCTTAGCTAAGCTGGAGTCAGTTTCATTCATAAAGACATCTATTAAGGCAAACTGTCGCTGTATATTTTGTTCGTTTTTTTTTAATACTTGGTTCTGAAGTTCAACGATTGAGGTTTGATTTTTCAACAGTTCTAGTAGATAATTCTCGTTATTTTGAATAGCTTGTATGTCCTTCTGGTATTTATCGGCAAAACGTTGGTCTAATACACCGAAAAGGCTGTTAGCGACATACCCTATTCCATCAATTAGTCCTCGTTTCTTTCGATCACCCAAGTGTTTGTGCGGGGCCAATAATACAGTATTGTAATATTCCAGTATCTCCATTTCATGATTCAGTTGTTCTAGAGTTGTCTTGCAATATCTAGGGTCAGTTTTATGGCATAACTCATTCAGTCCATTGAGGTAGGTCGTGATTCGTTGTACACCTGTCCAGTAATTTGATAAATTATAGTACATAAGTAATGTCCATTCATCATGAATTAGCTGTATGTTTGCAATCGTGTCATAATAAATCGGCCGGTCGGGTTCGAAGTTTACATAAAATGTAAGGTCCAGTTAGATCCTTACACTGTAGTTTGTGGTTGTAGAAGGTGTAGTAGCTCACAGAAAAGATCACAAGTTCTAGTTGCTAGTTGCGTATATTAAGTTTGGTAATAGTTACAAATAACGTTGTCGTATTTCTTTGCTTGACGTTGGTTGGTAGATAAAGTACTACTACTACGATTAATGTAATACGCTAAATTATATATGCTATGTATTGGGTGACGCGCATTCAATATTGCTGCGTCGACTATACGTGCTATGTACGGTTATGAAACCGTACAGTCAGGAAGGGGTAAAATTCCAATTAAAAGCTAAATAAATTTTGTCAACCATCGAGGACACCTATATACGATTTCATCTAGTTTTCTACATGATCCCACCGATACTTAGCCGCAATATGCTTCACCAGTCATAACGAGACAAAATATTAACAAATACAGTTACGAACTCTATGGTATAAAAGGGAATTATTGGTTTAGTTAATATATTTATAGCACAAAGTTTTCAATTGTGCCCAGGGCAGGACCAGTAGGCACTCCCTTGATCACGTAGTAACTTGTGTACTCCTCCGTGCGGTAGCAGTTGTCTTTGAGTGTGCCTAAGGAGTGGTGTGTGACAGTCCGGTTGGCCGGCAGGTGAGGCGCGGCGCGGCGGCATGGCGCGCGCGCGCGGCCGGCGGGCGGCATGGCGGTGAGCTGCCCTGAGGTGATGTACGGCGCCTACTACCCCTACCTGTACGGGCGCGGGGCCGCGCGCTCCTTCCACCACGCGCCGCACTTCCAGTACGACCGGGTCAGTATATATTCACAGTCACTACGCCCGTTCCCTTCCTACACACTGTTACCTTTATACAGAGAATTACATTATAACACTAATACTTGGTGTCGATGTATCGGGCGAAGTCCAAATCCGTGGCCATTTAGAGTATGATGAGGCCAACTTAGCCTCATACTCTAAATAAAGCTTGGTGTACTCAATACATCGAGGCTGTATTTCAGTCCGGTCCATCGTCTGTTACTACGTAAGGCGCAGATTCGGTCTCATATTGAATACTGTGCTCATCTGTGGGCGGGAGCACCTCAATGCCAACTTGTCCCTAGATCGTATCCAGCGTCGAGTGATTTGAATCGTTGATTTCCGCGGTTTTGCTGGACACTGGTGACATTGCCTAGAGATGTGGCCTCATTGAGCATCTTCTGTTGCTGTTGCTTATATCACGAGGTGTGCTCCGAGGAGTTGTTTGGTATGATCCCTGCCGCCTGTGTCTTTTCGCAACAGATGTGTGATGGCCTCGGCAGGCAACAACTAGGTATGTGTTTTTACAAAACTTTGCAGTTGGCACAGCAAAACTGTGGAATGAATTGTTGCCGGCAGTATTTATTTCCGAGTCGACGTGACCTTCAAACCTTCAAAAAAATAGCGTATTCTTTTTTACAAGGCCAGCAACGCACGTGTGACTCCTCCAGTGTTGCGCTGATCGATTACCTTCAGGTCGTCTGTATACTCGTTTGTTATATAAAAACTACATTTGAAGTGTGATGTTAGCGTCGCATATTGTAGGTATGCGTAAGTTGAACGCATACTCAGAAATGACTACGATAACGCAAAAAGGCGAAACATTGAAAACACTGAAGAAGAGATAAACAATGAGCTACAATTTATAATCAGGGGCAAGTCGGATGGAGGGGAGAGTTGACTTTGAACAGATATCAACTAGGTATAATGAATAACTTTTCTGTTGGTCAAGGCTGAATTTAAAAAGCTGTCGGCCGGCCTTCTGAATGCATTAACACCACAAAAAGAAGAAACTTGTGCACTAGTACTACTACTGATGCCTTTGGATAAAGAAACATATCGAGGGTACCAACATATATAAGTAGTATTTCTTTATGCAAAAGTATCAGTAGTGGTAGTACCTTCTGTAGGGTATTAGGAATACGGTGTATTATAAATATTTGTTATATACCTTCGGTATATTTATTTCTACATGTAGTGCTCATCGCACGCATAGGAGCTGTGTAGGCCTATACCTGCATGATAAATGGGAACAAAGTTTCTGTTTATATGGAACAACAACATTTGTAGTTATGAGTTTATGACGTCATGTTGCGTCAAATTAACTTTTTCATAAACTGAGATGTGAAAATACGAACATTACGCATTTATCGTAAAATCAAACAAAAAGTGTAAACATTAAAAAAAATGGGAATTGGAAAGTCGTATAGTATTGTTTTTGTTTTTCTCTTTAATTGTGTTTGTCCACATGGATACGTCAACCCTATCGGATAGTATTAGTTACGCGTTTGTATTCCAAATATCAAATAAACTAAATATATTGAGATTGTTATGTAATATACTATATTCATGCAGATTATTTGAAAGAATAAATCACAGAATATTGACAATATTGTTGAAGAGTCAGAGAACAGGGACAGTGGAAGTGGGCATGCAAATTTAACATCCAGTTAGTCAGTTACTTAATTAATTCTTACATAAATCGAATTCTTTTATAAGTCACACAATATTTCAATTCAATACATCTACCTACTGTGTCCCTTGAATTGAAAATAGTTAGGAATGAATATTGCCAGACACTTTAAATATCGCCAGCAAGCTACCTTCCTTACACTTCCTAACTAACTAACTAAGCTACCTTCCTTCCTTCCTTACTTACTTGAGTTTTGTAAAATCCCTACAATCAATATCAATGTTCCCTAAGTACAATGTTTACTACATATTTATGTGCCTACAAAGGCTACCCGAGTCGCCCCTCTGGCAGCGTCGCCGTGAGGTGTCGGGTGTAAAAGAAACAATTATTAATTAGGATACACGTGTCTAATAGATGAAGTCTAGATTACGACTAATACATTCTTAGATCATTACACTACAGCATACCCACGTCCTATCATAAAGGTCGACTTACATAAACATTTTTTCTGCATCAAAAAATAAGTAAGGTCTGGCGGCCCCGGGGTCTTGCTGTATTAAATATATCGTTGAAAGTATTTCATTCCGAAAGCAAATAAAAAATACATGTGTAACGTCTTATACTAATCTCAGACACAAACATGTTTAATTCATACTTCCTAGGACAGCCTGTATACATACAATGCAAACATTTATGTTCTGGGTCAATGAATATCAGCGCTTTATAAGTGGATTGAAGAAAAACAGGAGCAAAACAATGTGTTGTGTTTTCACGTTTCCTTTGACGCCGAATGGACTCGTCTGTTCGTTTTCTACACATTCCTTTCCAAACAAATTGGTTTATCACCACCGTTGATTTTACTATATGAAAAGCTAAAAAGCAATACAATATACTATATAGTTTTCCACGACGAGACGCGCGCGGCATGGCGGCGCTCACACACTCCAGTGTGTCGGAATATAATCGGAGCTTGCTCTGCGTTTGGAAGTGTATCTTCTAAAGTACTCATTTGATTCATAGTCTAAGCGCAAACAATAATAATCACATTAAAAACTATTAAATTGCTCAGTGTTGGTTGGACTTGGTTTTGTACTTTGTAGTAGGTTGTCTCGCGATTGTGGCGTTACCGGGTGATTCGAAAACCGGTAGCATCCATTCCCAACGTTTCTGCGAACTTGGGAAATATAGAAAAAATATTCACAGAAATCCATTAAAATCCAATAGGTACTAATTTTCCCCAACTTGGAACTCGAACCAAGATTTTTATTTTTATTTCTTCTACAAATAAGAAATCACTGTTTCAATCGATACTGTGCCTGCGACTTCGTCCTCGCCGCAATCTACATAGTTTGAGTGCATGAAGAGTTCATTTAAATGAGATTAGTTCTGGAAGCGGCCGCCGGCGCCATTATTGAGAATGTGCTGTGTAACATACAGGCGGGAGTGTACTCGCACGGCAGTGACTGGGCGCGGTCACAAATCGAGGCGCACGCGCACTGCACTCCCGCGCAGCCGGGTCGGCTGGTTTGTCAGCTTCGCTTTTCATTGTTTTTATGTTGCCTAGTGAGATGCGAAGAGCGATCATGTTGAAAGTAAAAATCGTCACACGCATGTGAAGCAGCAGCGACGCATAGAGTTGAGTGGGTTTTTGTGCGCTAGTAGCGCGGCGCGGCGGCGCGCAGCGGCGCGCGGCGGCCGGTCCGACCGGCCCCGGGCCCATATATCACGCGGACAAAAACCTGCCGCCACTGCTGCCAGCTTCCCTCCGCTAGTCTTACGCTGGACAATCTTCCTAACTATATAATCTAATGCTTTATTCAGTTTTTTTTTAAACTTGTGTCCCTAAAATAGTTCGTCCTTGAGTTCTGGATATGTTTACTATTTACATTTCTCGAAACACGGGCGTAGTACCGAGGTCCGAGGTACCGCGTTGGTGCGATACCTGGTTGTCCGCAATGTCCGCACACAAACAGATCTTGTAAGGTACTAGTGACAGGATATGCATATTATTATTAACAAAGTGCCAAAATATGTAGGTACTAAACATAATTATTTTGTCAAAAATATGCACACGAAGATTATGGAGAGCAAAATTGGAGTCTGACACCATTTCGTAATTGTTTGCACAAAACGTAAGTAGTTTCCACAACACAGTGAGGTCAATATACGATGTTATTTAGTATTTGATCTTACATATCCATAGGGATACAAGCCGAAATAAGTATGTTGTCAATCAAAAACGGACAAACTATACAATTAGTGATAGTAGCTACTCTCTCACTCTCTCACTCTCTAATTTACTCTAACATCCAGTTTTCACTATTTATGTTATAAGTCCCATGTTACAGGGGGTGAGCCATATACCGAGCATAATTCTAGACTCCGTGCTACTACTGAGAAACATTTCAAAACCCAGTAATAATTTGTCCGACCTGGGAATCGAACCCGAGGCTCGACAGTCGCACTTGCAGCCACTCGGCCGACAAGGCATCTCTTTCTATTCATTTATTTGACAACAATGATGGGAATGTCCTGTTCTATAAGTTCAATTCAAAACAAAATTATATTTTAGTAATAAGTAAGAATGTAATGTAATAAACAAGCTGTATAATTATGTAAGTACTTGAACACTAGCGGATTCAGTAGTTAAGTGAAGTACCGGTTGCAGTTCAACGTGCAGAGTGGGGCGGGCAATGCTGGCAGCGAGGCTTACAGCGGCGGCGCGGCGGCGCTCAGCTCGGGCTCCGCGTCCTCGGGGGCGCAGTCCCCGGGCAGCCCGCCGCACGCACACCTCACGCACCACGCCGCGCGCCTGCGCACCAAGGAGGAGGATCTCTCCGCGCACGGCCGCGCTAGCGCCGACGGTACGTATCATAATAACTCATACGCAAGTTGTAACGATGTGCAGCATGTAAGGTGTGGCCGTGTGTGCAGGCGGCGGGTCCTCGGAGTCGGAAGGCGAGTGCGGCGGAGCGGGCGCAGCGCGGGCGCGTGCGCAATACGTCAGCGCCAACTGCGTCGTGTTCACGCACTACTCGGGCGACGTGGCCGCCGTCGTGGACGAGCACTTCGCGCGCGCTCTCTCGCTGGATAAACCCAAAGGTCAGAAATTCTAAGGTCGTCTCAGTGTATGTGAAATTGTAAGTATATAAACGCTAAAGTTGGTACCGTGTAGTTCGTCGCACGTAGTTCGTAGTGCGTAATACGGAGTCTCGGAGGCGTGAGAACTACGCTCTGCGATTGCGAGATATGCGCTACGTGCACGAGCTACGCGATACGCGCTACGAACTACGCCTTATGCGCTACGAACTACGGGCTACGAGCTACGCCTGTAGTATTTGTTAAATGTCAAATTAGGGCGTCTAGATTTCAGAGTAGTCTAGATTGTAGGGTCAGAAACTTGGTTCTACGTGAGATCTGATTTATTTTGGCAATTTGAGTTATTGCTATTGATCTCTTCTTGGCAACATTTTGCATGTAGGTATATAAGGGTCTTGTTCTCTCGCGTTTGACTAAATTTGGTAGTCATTTCGTACGTAAAAATAGGGAAAGTGTAATGATCTGATCAATTCTAGGCTGAGGTAATTTGTAGCCAGTGCTAAATAAGTACGTAAGGAGATCGGCAAATCTGGCCCCTGTGGACAAAAATGAAATACTGTGAGTTTTCAACGACTAATACTAGTATTCACTTATTCAGCCCTGTATAATTGGTTTTGATATGAATCGGGAGATGCCAATTATTTCAATTAATTCTCAAAACATTTGTTGTCGCTCTTATGACCTAGGTAATATGAGTTTTAGTTATTTGCCGTGACGAGGCTAAATGTGCCACGGAAGTTTGCCGGACCCCTTTAAATATCTTTTGAGGTTCACAGTTTTAGGAGGACGATAGTTGTTTTAATATTGAAAGCATAATATTATGATTTCCTATTACTTAAAAACTCGTCAAAACTAAATAGGGCAATCATGTTTATAAACTTTTACCAAAAACATTATTGTGTTTCTGGTGTTTAAGAATAAATGTTTTTTGGGTCGGATAGGTGGTCAGGCATTGTTTAGACTCTGGATCTCAAAACGTTTTATATATGTTTTTAAAAATACCTACAAAATATACTTGAAGGGAAATATCAGCAAAATAACGAGCACCTGAAAAACTCAATGCATAAACTCAATATTTTGTTTGTGACTATTAGAATATTGTTATGTTTAGTAGTGAATGGGACGTTGCTTATGTAAACTATGATTGTAATGTTCAATTGAAATCACATTCGTTATAATTATGTCAGACGTTGCGTGTACGGGGGCCTACTGAGTGGGTATGTTCTATACATTACTGATCACACAGACACACATTGCCGATTTATAACATTGGTTTAATACCTAACTACATCAAATGATGTCAAATGCAAGTTAGCTGCGAACTGTTCAGGTACTTGTCAATATATTGGGCTTTGGAATGGGATCTCCTCTACTGCTCAGGCACTATTTGAATCTATTTGTTACACTGTTCATGTGGTGGGTGACCATTACTTCCGGTTGCCGTTCTCATCAGACTTTAAGCGTGTCTATGGATTCCTGTCGATTGTTTATTTGACTTAAAGTCTCTATTAGTTTTGTTTTTAGTTGGTCTCATAGATATTCAATAGTTTGAAGACTGCGTCTTATTGCAGGACACGGCAAAACCCTAATATTGGAACAAGAAAGAGCTTTTTTGTCGAACTGGTTATTCATAAACAAGTATTGCCTTCCATTAACACTTAACTATCACCTACTTTTTATGGATATGAAACGCAATGAGGTCGGATTAGGTAGTCGTTATTTCAAATAGGAAAACGGTTGGTTCCTAGGTTGCAAGTAGCCACGAATCGTTTACCTATATTGTTGCACCACATTATATTTAAATACCCTCTGTAAATACTGAAATATCTGACCTATCTTTTATCTCTGAACAATGTCCTCCAGTATTCATGGCTCAGTTCAAATGTTTGTGATCACACCTCAAACAAACTACACGGTGAGTTTTGGTCAGTTGGGTAGACAAACAACTTGGAACGGTGGACGTCTTCCTAGAATTGATTGAGATTGTTTCAATCGATGGTATTATGTATTGAGCAATAATGCAGTATTGATTTTGTAAGGCTCGGTCTAACGTTAAAAAACCTTTATTATATACTCTTTATGTAAAGTATACTCTTTATTATAAGCAAGTTAAGGTCTAGTTATGCATTTTCCAAGTATCCCAGATTTACTCAGAAATCTCTAAATACCACTTTCACACCTTTCGGTTACCTCCTTGTGACACACTATCACAAAAGCTGCGACTCTCTAAAACTCTCTCTCTCCTGAAGCAGAGCAACTGCCTTAGCAGCGGTGTCCTTATCCAAATCACATTGAAAATCAGCCATTTACAAGTAACATACAAACCAAACAAAACTATCACAAAAAGCAACATTCAACGATTACTCTTACACTCACACCACGAACACAAGATATACAATTTCTGACATCAAGTTTTTTCAAGCACGTCACTATTTCTGCTTACTTACTTAAATAAAACGCCTGACTTTTTGTCTGAAACATCAGAGTAAATACTTATGAACATGTTAGCACCACGATCAAATGCTTTATTTTAGTGATCAATACCTCTTGAATTACTTCACGACAGTTATATTTCGTTGGTGGACCCAATTATGTTTTGACGAGTTTATAAAAATGAATCGCTGAACGTGTTGCTAAGCGCGAATCTCGAGGCTAGCTGAACTGATTTCGCTAATACTTTTTTTCGGTTTTATTATAGTTAGGAGGAACTTTTATATAAGAACAAACGGTGTGCAGAAAAGTATCCTAGGTAACAAAGGTTGGGACTTGCGAGATCTACTAGTAATAAATAAATAAAAGATATCGTATCATTATAACCTCGTCGGCGCTATCCTTGGACTACTGTTACTAATATAATAATATTCTGTATAAGTGCCAAGCAGCAGACATCACTTCGTAAGGATGCATTAAATTGTTCAGAACTTCGTCGCCCTGAGTTCTAAGAACACATACATTGTGAAAAACAGTGGGCAGCATGCGGCGGCGACTCGACTGACTAGATAAATCACTGAACTAAACTTGCGCAGCCTTAATTAAAGCCGACATTTAATTACAAACTAGAGCCCAGCACAGCACCCGCTCCCCCTGGGGGGGGGGGGGCACCCCGCGCCCCGCACTCGCTCCCCGGCAGCTCGGTCAGACTCAGGATACTTCATTTGGTACACATTACTCGCCCACTAGAACGGTTTATCGAGGAGTTGTTAATAAACAGTAACTGCTAAACAGGGTGCTCATTGTCTTAGCGGGACTTTAATACGTGTTTGTTACAAAATTAATTTATCAAAAATTAGTATTTAGATATTGTGTTGCCGTAACCGTAGAGCACAATGTATGATGTATGTAAGAAGTTGTCGGTCGGTCGGTAACATGTAACATTAAATATTCTACCACCGCGTGTGTGTTGGTAGCCCTGTAGGCTGTAGCGTTGGTAATAACGAATGAATGTCGGGACGCGAACTGTGATGACGCAATCTGAGACCGGTTCCGACTGCGGCCCAGGGCCTGAACACAAGGTGCCCGACTAATCGGCTATACATAGAGAAACGTCTTTTCACGAGTCGAGGCATAGTTACGTGGTCGTGATTAGATCGGAAAAACGCTGGCCATTACTTAAAAGATGGCCGAAAGGAGCCGCGCGACAAAAACGTATAACGTTGGCATAGTCGCGGGCGAGGTCGGCCCAGCTTTGTGCCGCGCCGCGCATTCCAGCCGCTAACGCAAAAACCGCGCCGCGACCGCTTGTGTACTAATGCCACTGTCCCCGCGCAGCGCGCACTCGCTGCGAGCCAAGTCAAGTGACAAAGTAATTTCGGCAGGCACCGCCTACAAATCTAATTAATCCAGCCATTAAGAAACAACGCACCACATGATAATAAACCGCAATAATTTATTTGTGGACTTTCCCTTATAACATCTCAATTTAAAGAAGGAAGTTTAATATTGAACCCGGATGTCATCCCTGGTATCTATCTAGCAATCCCAACCAATAATTGCCACTGCAGTAGTAGGTACTCGTGCACTTGAAGGTTGCAAATGTAGGTACAGCCAGCGCTGTTAATAAAATAAAGATTGACTCACTAGCTATCTAAATGATATAGTTTTTAATCAAGCCATATCTTCTGTAGCCAAGCAATGGTTACTGTCTCTATACTGAATCAATCTCTATTTTCTTACCGGCATACTAAGTCGCAGGGGTTTCTTGTATTGTACTTTTCAATACTTGTTACAATATAAAACTGAATAAGAGTTGGTGTGGCTGAACGCGCTAATCTCCGGAACCATAGGTTTCAAACCTATGGTTCCGGTTGAATTTTTATGATATCATAGGCATATTTTTGTGTTGCACTTCATTTATCGAAGAAGGTGATAAAATGTAACACTAAGCCCTATGGGAAAGCAACGAGTGAAACCGACCTACTGTGATATAATAAAAATAAATTCATATCGATTATAAAGTATTCAAAATACCTAATATGTCTCCGTCAAAATGTTGGAAATGACTTGATCTATATCCCCAGACGGGACTATACCGAGTGTTTGTGTGTGTGCAGAGAGCGTCCCGATGGTGTCGCGCAACCTGCCCGCCTCCTTCTTCAACGCGGCGGCGGCGGCGGGCGTCGGCGTGCCGCCCGGCGGCGCCTGCGCCGGCGTCGACATCTACGACTACGACCCCTGGCACCAGCACTACACGGGGTGAGTGCGGCCGGCACTGCCCGCCGGTACAGAGCCCGACGTGACGTATTCATGACGTATGCATGGCGTGTGCAGGTACGGGCACGCGGCGCACCGGCACGCGGCGGAGTACCACGCGGCGGCGGCGCACCACAACATGGCGGCGGCGGCGGGCTACGGCGGCCTGCTGCTGGGCCGCGGCTCGCTGCACCACCAGTACAAGCCCGTGGACTGGCCGGCCGCGCAGCACCACTCGCACCACCTCGACCCCGCCGCCTGCTCGCCCTACTCCTACCCCGCCGTGCCCGGTACCTCACGCTTTCTCTACCTTATTAATGCGCGGAGCTATATCAAAGCGTTTCTTTCATGTGCTCGGTAAACGATCAAACGCTGCGATAAATAACCGCCCATACTTCAACACAGAATGTTTTCAAACAGATGTTCTACTGTATTTTAATTTTCAAAGACATTCCAGTCGCAAGCGCAAATATTTTAATTGTGATGATTTAAGCGCTCTATCCGAATGACAAAACAAGGCATTCCCAGTGTGTGGCACCGTGCGGGGCTGACGCCGCGCCGGGAGTGGGACTCGAGTACTCGACCACACTCTGCTTGGGCGAGTGCTTGCTAGCGCTCGCAGTGAGTTTGTAGTACTTTGTGGAGCCTGTCTCCGCATCGGAAAAAGATAGTTCACAAGAAAACGTTCGCGTGATTCGCGGTATTTAGATTTGGTTCTGAGGATAGGCATAATTGCCGCTTCGGATAAGCAAACGATTATAAACGACGGTTGATGTGGTAAAAACAGCGGACGCAGGCGGCGAGTTGAAAGGGACTCTAGTGTCCGTAATGCTGGGGGCGGGGGCGCGGGGGCGCAGGACCGGCTTGCTCCCTAATGACGACGATTAAAATTAATTTGCGCGGCGCGCGGAGCCGGCCCCCTCGCCGCGACCAAATTAAATTCTTGAGTCGCGATCGAGTCCCCCGCGCCCCGCACCGCGCCCCGCGCCGCGCCCGCTAGATAGGTATGCATCGCGCTCCCTTTTGTCTTCATGATCGCATCCGTCCACTTGACTGATAATGTTTTGCTTTTAACTTAGGGAAGCCCTTTTGATTCATGAAATGTACAAATTCATTTACGACCACGGAATACGTTTCCTGTCGTTCTGTCTCCTACTGAAAGCGGTGGGGATAGCAGATAGGGATATCTTTCCCAGTCGTCCAATGGTATTTTCAATTTCGTTGCGGAATCCGAGACGTTTATGCCTTTGGACATTTCAGAATAACAAAAATGAATCAAATCAAGGAAATCATTAATTTCCAATATAACAATGGGAACATGTTGCTGCTACACCACCGCGCAGTGCTCCAGGGACATGTACTAGCGCTGCGTTACCTGGGTACTACTACCTCGGTCCTCACAATACTTAGAGAGTTATTTAGGTCCGGGTCTGGCTTGAAGGACTAATATGCACTGGAGTATCGTAACGTGGACTTGTGTTAAAATATCAGGTGTACGAGTTGTAGTAGTTAACTCCGTACATTGATTTGTAGTGAAGATGAAGTTGATGTAGTGTAGAGAAACAAGTTTCACCCAGTTGTACTAAGTAGTTAGTTTATTGCAATCAAATTACAATATGAATGAAAGGCGATTATTTCTCTCAGTTGTTGATAGCTACCAAGTTATTAGTTGACTATATTTTAATTCGTTAATCACGTTGTTTTATTACGCTAAATTGTACGCGCGTCTTTAACCTAAAGTAGGTTGCCGCGTAAACAAAAAAAATGTGCGGTTGTGAAACCGTACATCAGGTGTTCCGAGTTTAGAGAGAACTGTCTCCTAAGAGTCAGCCAGTTAAGAGTAGGTAACTTACAATTAGGCCTAATAACGCCTTTGAGGAAGCTTCTAAATTGTTTATTACAATTAAGATTGTCATATGTGCCTAAGGAAGTTATTAATTAGGTACCTACATCGTTTAATGTGTTACAGCTACACTAGTATCCGCCAGCGATCCTTTGCTTGCTCTACCCGGATATAAAGTACTTAGCTCTAGTGATACTCAAACACTGAAATCTATCGAATATGTGTCTGAGTAACCTTTTTGACATTTACTAAGTATTGAATTACTGTCAAAGTCCAGATCGATCTAAGGATTTTGTATTGAGACCGGTTAAGTATTGGTTTTGGCCGCAAGTGACAAATTGTTTCATTAGAATTGAATTTAGTTGATCCGGAGATGTTGCTAGCCGCTCGCGTTGTGTCGCAGTGTCTGTGGTGTCCGGTACAGTCTTGTAGTACTGGAGGAGATCGATGGTGGCGGGCAGTGGCCGGCGCGGGGCGGAGTCGCGCCACCAATGAGGGTGCGCTGACCGCCGCGCCCCGGCACACCCCGCGCCCCCGCGCCCCTGCGCCCCCGCGCCCCGCGCCCCGCGCCCTCGCCCCACTAAATCACGAGCCATGTCAATTACCCGGCAGCTCAGTAGCTCAGTGCTCAACTCGAGGTTCGCCGACATATTTTACATCGATTCAGTAGTCACACAGTGTGGCGAGCTACAGCCTATTGACCTACGATATACGACCAGAGGTGTCTAATTACACATGTATACTATGTATAGTGATTTATTCATTTAATTATTCCTATAGACACGTACTTACAACACAAAGGACAACACATATGTATAAATAGTGTTGTCCTTTGTACTTATTGTAGGCAAATTTCAAAATAAACAGATAAGTTTATTTGCGTATACTTAGCTTAGATTCGTATAGAAAAGAAGATAAGATATATATTTTTGAATATGTTAATTTTAAAAATTTTAAGTCGTTATGAATATTTTTTGAATGCATAAATGAATTAGTGTGAAATGGTATCTATCAACTTTGTTAAATGTTGATAAATACATACTTTATTGGCATCTTAAATATTATAATGTGAATAATAATTACGATCAGAGACCAGGAACAATTTTTCAATGTGCTAGAACAGTATGTTAATGTTTCCAGTGGTGTAGTAGGTTCGGTTCCTGTAGGTACTTCCTGTAGTGACTTTTTATTTTATAGTTTTGGATAGGTACTGATGAGACAAACCCTCAAAGTTAAACGAGCATTTTTGTACGTACGACCTTATTCCTTTATCATATTTACGAGCTGTAGTAGTAAGTTGAGTACCTACAATACTAAGTAATATGTCGACAATCAACAATCGATCTCAATCTGTGAAATTAGTCCTATTGGATAAGTATACTCGAAGGTAATTCATTTCAAAGTAGGATACAGTCGGAAAATGTCCGTACTGTAATGTTCGCAGCACTCTGCTACAACTGCTCACAGCTTCAGTTATGATGGCGCTGTATGATGGAACAAAGTCTGTCGGCCGCTACAACAGATGCTCGCGTTCTGTGCCGCGTTGGTAGATGTGGAGTGTAACGTCGGTGCTTGTGTGTGCAGGTCTGGAGGCGCAGGTGCAGGACACGTCCAAGGACTTGTACTGGTTCTGAGGGAGCAACGAGCGGGCCGCGCCCCGCGCCTGCGCAGACTGAGTGCTGCATAGTTACCCAGTGGTGAGACATTACCAGTGCCGGCACTGAACGTAACTAACTGGTGGATACTACGATCGGACTACTACTTGACAGTGAAATAGTGAACATACGTCGCGGATACCACTAGACAATTGTGGAGCTCTCGTCACGGACTGTTAGTGATGTCTGTCGCGCCGGGCCGGTGCAAGTGTGCGTGCGCTCTGTAGTACTGTACATGCAGGTGTGTGTGTGTGTGTGTGTTGGCTCAGTGTGGGGCCGCAGGGTGGCGACGTCTGTCCTGTCCGCGTGTGGTAGCGTGGCGTGGTGTGGCAGTCGAGGCCGGCGGGGCCGCAGCCCTCACCGCCGTCGTGGTTGTCGCACGAGGCCACCGTACAATAACTCACACATACATACATACGTACGTTGTGTACATTTCCTTAATGAAAATTGTATTAGATAGAATTATGAAATTATTAAAAAAAACAAAAGAATTGTTCTGAAATAAATACTCTGCAACATAGGTATCTAATAACCAAATGAAAAGTGTTCAACTGTAAGTATTTAATGAAGTAATGTTTCATGTAATTATATAGAGTATTGTATCATGTTAGATAATATATTTGTTAGGTGTGAGTGTGAGACATGCTTCGTTAGCGCACACAAGGAAACACATTACGTCCATTAATATACTTGCGGTTGAACTTCGATCATTTCTTACTTTCATAAAAGTATTCTACAAAGCGCAGTGAACGAGAGGTAGTCAGTAAGTTTTAGTTTATTCCGGCGCTTCAGGGAGTAAGGTACCTACGATAAATTAAAAGTTAATAAGTGTTCATGGTATGTAGGTACATGTCGAGTCTCTTCTATCTGTACTACTGTTGATTCAGTGCGCCGCGAGGAATACTCCGATGAATGGTATTGGGTATACATCCCCCCTACACGGTCGGCACCGAGCCGTGCGCTGCGCCGTCCAACGTTCTACTCCTAGGTACCGTACTAGTAGAGTAATTACTCGGTCACCTCGACCTGTGAACTACCCACCCAATGATCCGACCTAGGACATAGGAGACTGGGGCACGATGACAGACGGTGGCCGCGGCGGTCGGTCCCGACCGGGTGGAAAGCCTTTTAGTATTATGTATTATGGAGATAACGTATTTTTATTGATTGTATTTAATATAAATATGTAGATACCTAATGTTTGATGATACCTGTTTGTAGTGTTGCTCAGATCTCGTATCATTTTAGATAATTTCACTTGAAACTGATTATTATTATTTTTGATAGATTGGAATTGATTTGCTGCTGTTTAGAAATGTGAGAAGTAGGCAGGTGCAGTCACGCTGCTGTATGGCAGGCAGCGCTGGGCGCGCCGACTAGTTGTAGTCTGGTACTGTACATATAGTTGCCTCTAGGTTAGGTGCATAGGTGATAGCGACAGTAGCAGCAGACATGTAGGAACACTGAGTCGGTGCACATAATGTGAGTGGATCACTCCACGTTCATAGTTAAACAACTAAATAAAATTCCATTATCTACTGTGATTGTTTCACTTGTGCTGTTTTATTTATTCCACTACACCCGAGGACCAAGTTGCTTATATAACAAACTATCAACGCGTACTTCATCCCTTGTTTACTTTCTAAAATTCCTAAAACATGTATTTATTTGTTTTAAATCATTAACCTAAAACCACAACATTTAGTGTTCCTCCGATAAGAAGTAATGCAATTCCCATATAATCTTTAAACCCATGTATCATCCCTTATTGAGTAAAATTTCCAAAACATGATTGAATTGTTTTACTTTACGTCAATAACCGAAATAAGTACAAAACTTTGTTTATGTTACTTTCGAATTGACGGACTTTTGTAGAAATTATCACCCCTATATTGACCTCTGAGGAGCCCCTACTTTGTAAATACGATCTTAGTGGCAGTGGATGCTAACATAAAGAAATGAATATCCAGTCCGGATTTAATATTTTTAGAGTTGATAGTTTGGGCACGACGATTATGAATTAGTCAGTCAATTAGTCAAGCTCAAGTCAGTACATGTTATTTTATAAGTTAAAAAAAAAGATAAATTCGGTAGCTCTCTTTAAAAATAATACTTGCATCATCTCGCTACGCTGCGGAAATACATGTGTTTGTACAAGTCTAAGCTTCCGCAAATATATTGTTTCATATATGGCCGGCTTAAGTTGCGGCGAAATATTGCTACCGTAGCTCATAGCGTGTAACCGCGTAGCACGTAGAAAGTTATACGTAGCGTGTAGTTCGTAACGAGTGGCAGCGTGTTACCGTCATTTCCGCTACGTACTACGCGCTGCGTGCTACGAGCTACAAACTACCAGCTACGTACTACGAGCTACGGCTATAGTATTTAACCTATGTTTAGTGTCGTAGTTCTTTCTGTAACTCACTTAGCTAGACACGCTCTATTACTTACGTTCATAAAGTCACGATAATATAAAAAAAAACGCTATAAGAAGTATCTTATAAGAAAGTTATTGAATAGCCGTGGTCGTATACAATATTGTCTACAGTATATAATAATGGCATATGACCGCGGTATCCTAAAATTTTCTTATACGATACTTTTTAGTGTGGTTTTTATGTCGGGTATGAGTATAAATAACTAAAACATACTATGATAATCCAATCAATCCGTATAGCACCAGTTTCGTAAATCAAAAATACCCGCGATTACGAAACTGAAATGGTTACTGCCCGCGCGCACTGCGTTGTTTATTGTTACCTCTTATAAGTTATAATAACGTATTATGTAATACATAATTTTTGACGTAAAACATACATTTTTACCGGCTTAAAAAAAGGAGTTGGTGATATGTTCGGATGATTGTTTTTTCACCAATTACTCCGCCATTTGTGAACCGATTTCCAAAATTCTAGTTTTGTTTGAAAGGTTTTATTATAGGCCTTCCCGAGAGGGCCGTTTTCATCAGGTCAGGATGGAATCCTAGGGAAACCGACGAAGAACTTTCGGAAATTATAGGGACGAGTAATGCGTGTATTACGTTTTTCAATAAGGATTTTTAAACAATTGAATTGGACTAGGATCTGAGAACTTTACACCTAGATGGAGTGGGACTGTCATTAAGGGTTTGATGATGAAGGGGTGTAATTATTAAGGGAACTCTTCAACGGTTGGTTGGTTCAAGTCGCAAAACGGGTATATGTAGCTTTACACTAAAAATGATAAATAAGGAAATATAGGTAAACTCCGTTTAAAAAATCGACTTCAAGAAACTAAAAACAAACGAAAAGTAAAATCCATAAAGCAAAAAGTAACTATTACAAGTACTGATAGGTTACCCACCCACTGATAGGTTAGATGTCGGTGCCATAAGTTGTAAACATAATGATATAACTTAATCGTAACAAAATTGTAGACAACTTAATGTTAAGTATCTATTACTTAGTCAGTGGGTTTGGTGTTTACATTCTGTTAAAATTTATTCGAACGAGATTAATCTCGCTCAAAATGGACGAGACCGTGATTGCATTCCCTAATAAAGATTGATGCACATTTGTCGAAGTATACAAGTGCAGCAATATTATTCGCAGATACAATAATGTAGTTAGGAAAGTTTAGAAACCAAACATAGTTACTTCCCGCATTGTATACAGTTGAGGCATGTTTATATAATGCGATGTCGCGCAGCCTGCGAGTCATCGCCGCGATATACCTAAAGGTTAAAATATTATGTTTAAACTAGTAACAGAAGATGAATTAAGCTGGTTTATGAAAACCACAACATATGAAGAAAGAAAGAAAGAAAAACCATTTATTTTGCTACGACACACAACAAGAATTGAGGAACACACAAAAAGCCTATGGTGCGTCGCAGTCGCAGGGCAAAAGGCTGCTGTCATCTATTCAAAAAAGACTGCTCGGCTGGTGTGTGGGCTGGGTAACCGAGTCTTCGAGTTCGATGTTCGATTCCCGCACGGCAACTCTTTGTGATCAACATATTGTTGTTCTTGTTCCGGGTCTGGGTGTCATGTGTATGTGATATTGTTCTAGATAGAAAATACTAGTGTGGGGCAATGTCAAAAAAATATTTAAAGGGATGAGAATATTTTAGCCAAAATCCTTAAATACATTAACATCATAACATCACGCCTTTTGTCCCCGAAGGGGTAAGCAGAGGTGCACATTATACCACTGTATACAATGTAACACCCACTTTTCACTATTTATGTTGTGAGTCGCATGTAATAGGGGGTGAGCCTATTGCCATATACCGGGCACAATTTCAGACTCCGTGCTACTACTGAGAATTATTTTAAAAACCCAGTAATAATTTACCCGACCCGGGAATCGAACCCGAGACCCCTTGCCCGGCAGTCGTACTTGTGACCACTTGGCCAACGAGGCAGTCCTTAAATACGTATGCCTCCCTTATTAATTACAACAAGGACACCCTACATCAATTTTCAAAAGTTTAACATCAATATTTCAGAAGTTTCAAATACACTCCTTAGTGTAGGGGATTGGGGGAAAACATCCAAGCTGGAAGATTTTTTTGATGTTTGCGTACAATTACCAGTTTACATATTACATGCCATATTTCAGCGTTTTAGGACTTTATCCCAAATGGCAATCCAAAATCAGAGCAATCTGGTAGGTAGATACCACAAACACACGCGTGGAGAAAGAGTAAAATAAACCACACCCTGTATCTTTAAGCATAATTATGATTAAAATAATATACGACATGAAGCGATTGATGAAGGTGCCCGAGCACCTGGAACGACAGAGGTATGTGAGGCCGGAGCTATTTGAAGTTATATTAGGTACCTCGACCTGCATCGATGTAATGATGATATGTACCTACTTGTGGGATAAACCCAAGTTTTTAAAACACTGAATTAAAATAATAAGAAATGTTTACATTTTCTTAGGCATATATTAGTAGATCTCACAAACTCACCCTCGAGCCCCTTGTTGTTGCGTCAGTGCTGGCGAAGTGTCGACCTGAGTGCCAAGCACGAATAACTATCGCATTCGTAACGTAATAGTATCGAGCGCGTTCGGCGCTCTGATTGGCCGGCGCAAGTGAACCAACCAATCAGAACGCTTAACTCGCTCGATACTGTTACGATACGAATGCGATAGTTATTCGTGCTTGGCCCTCTGCTCGCTTTGGCTTCTCGCAATAAGTGTCGGGCTACGCGATAGCTTCACGACCACAACCTACCCACACTATTCTAATTGTCGTGATATATATGTGGTTTATAATTTTATTTTTATTATTATTATTATTATTTTTTTCTACGGTGACGGTACACGTAGCACTTGTTTATGTATCTATACTTATTTTCTTCCTTTTCGTTTATTGTTTTAACATGTGTCATTTGTATTTATATTATTTTCCTTTAAATAACCCCTATACTTATTATACTCTTTGCATTAAATAATTTTTCGTTGCTTCCGTCCGTGCGTCACTGCAGGTGTGCCAACTGAAAATCAGTGTTGGGTACTTACTGTGCCCAGCTTAGACTGAGTTGGCGAGCCCTTTCGTCGTGGACATGCTGCCACCCTGTTTCTTTTATTTTGTTTTTATAATGTTTTTTTTTTTACCTTCATTGTTGTTTTTTTTGTTATTTTATGTTTTTTATTTTTGTTTTCTATATTTATTTTTGTGTTTTAATGTATATGTATTTTAATTTTCGGTGGTCCATGTATATGTCCATGGCGAATAAATTATTTTTCTTTCTTTCTTTCTTTCTTTCTTTCTTTCTTTCTATTTACAATAAATATTTGCCGCGTGAGTGGGAGTACAACACATTGGTTCCCTAGACTGGAAGTCTCTACAATGATAACGACAGAAATCTGTTACCAAATCGTAAAGACGTATTTCTTTCATAAATTTTTTATGGTATATCGTTCCCGTGGGTGTCACAAGAGTTGACTTACGGAGTACACGCGCGACAGAGACCGGATAGCAGCAACATCAGGTGTGTCAGTAATCCCGTCGACTCAGCATGGAGATTTTGGCAAACAGTTCCTTATGCAGAAGAAGAAATCATTTGCAATGGCCGCACACTTCAATCAGTAGGTTTCAATACTTTATATGACTTAACTAAAACTACAAATAAGAAACATAACAAACATAACATCACGCCTTTTATTCTCGAAGGGGTAGGCAGAGGTGTACATTATGCCACTGTACAATATAACACCCACTTTTCACTATTTATGTTATGAGTCCCATGTAATAGGGGGTGAGCCTATTGCCATATACCGGGCACAGTTCCAGACTCCGTGCTACTACTGAGATTTTTTAAAAAAACCCTGTACTACTTTGCCCGACCCGGGAATCGAACCCGAGACCCCTTGCCCGGCAGTCGCATTTGCGACCACTCGGCCAGCGAGGCAGTCAAATAAGAATATTTTTGTGTGTTATGTGTATACTAGTATTGCCGCAGTATACACATAAGTAGTAAGTATGAGCTCGTAGCTCGGGACAGTGGCGATGCTAGCAGGTCGCAGCTGTCCCTGCCGACGTCTGCCATGTAGAGC